TATATATATATATATATATATATATATACATATATATACATAATAACTTGGCGATCGCGTTCTCAGTCGTAAAAATTAATTCTTGTTGAACTTCGACTAATTGAAATGGTGAGCAAAATAATTTTCTTTTTTTTTTTACAAGAAACACTGTNACGCTCTTTCGATCGCGTCGAAGAGATTAGTATATATCGACGATCCTCGTAAAAATATTACGCTTGGCCTGTTACCAGATGGCGGCCAGATGCTTTCTCGGGAGGAAGGGGGGAGGGGATACTCGTGCACCCAATTTCTCGATTCTGACAATTTCCCTCTAGCGAGAAACTCTGCGCCAAGTTTACGGAAATTAATAGGTTATTTGGGATGCGCGTTCACACTGCCCCCTGTCCGATGTTTGTGAATATTTCCGTCTGGCGTCGAGAAATCGCGACAAAGTATTCATCTGATTTATGAATTATGAGATTGATGAATGAAAATATTTAAGTAATATCGTTGAACCATTCTTAATATAAATATGAGAAAATAAATTCGCTCGTCCATCAGACTTTTGACGAATATTTTTACGCGACTAAAATGAGATTTTTTTCTTTCTTTTTTTTTTTTTTTTAATAAATCGTTATCGTTCGCTATTTTAAAATTCGTTTAAATTATATTGATGACAAATATAAAAATTCTCGATCTACTTATCGTGCTTGAAAAAACGATTTTTCAAATTCCTTCCATTTTTTTCTCTCTCTCTCTCTCTTTTATATTCTCCATCACAAAATATATCAAAGTCATGTAAACGTAGTAGACGATATAAATTGCGCGAGTTCCATTCCAGACTATGGACGATTAAATAAATTCATGAAATCTTATCTATTCTTTGATGATCATCGTTTTTTATTTTTTATTAAAATTTTTATTAAAATTCGTTTAAATTATATTGATATATTCTCGTACAAAAATTCTCGATCTATTTGTATCATTTTTAAAAAAACGATTTTTCAAATTCCTTCCATTTTTTCTCTCTCTCTCTCTCTCTTTTATATTCTCCATCACAAAATATATCCAAGTCATGTAAATTCATCAAATCCCCTTATCTGCTCTTCGATGCTTATTATTATCGTTTAAAATTCATTTAAACTTATATTAATATATACTCGTAAAAAAATTCTCGATCTATTCGTATCATTTTTAGAAAACGATTTTTCAAATTCCTCCCATTTTTTCTCTCTCTCTCTCTCTCTTTTATATTCTCAATCACAAAATATATCAAAGTCACGTAAACGTAATAGACGATATAAATTGCGCGAATTGCATTCCAGACCTTGGTCGACTGAATAAATTCACGAAATCGCCCTTCCCCCCCCCTTATCTGCACTTGGACGATCATTTTTTTTTTTTTCCTTTTTTCTTCTATATCTCCACCATTTTCTATTCCAATTTATCTTGCCAACGCATCTTCGCCGCGGTCTGTGCATTATGGATGGCTCGCGTGTCCTCAACCCCGCTTTTTCCACCCTGCGTGTTTTTTCGCCCCTGCCCCCCTCCGCGTATATTCCACCAACCCCGACGGTCGCCCAATCTTCGAATCATCCGCGAATCTTCCAAAATTAAAAATCCACCAATCGAAAAATTGAAAAATTTTTTTGCGGACTCGAATAAAAAGAAATCGAAAAATTTACCCTCGATGATATCGACCCGATATTCGCTCGTGTTCGCTTGAACAATTTAATTAGCAAACAGGGGAGAAAACAAGTACGATGAATTTTTTATATATAGAAAAGTAGTCGATTATCCGTCTAATTAAAATATCTCGAGGATCTTGAGGAGATGGGGGCGAGATATATCGGCGAATGATTAATTAATAATTTCGACCGTGAACCGCAATTTTCAATTGAAGGACGAAAGAAAAGTCTTTTTTTAAACCGGTAGAATAATTTCCACGATCGATCCAATATTCGTGGATATGTTTTTCGACGGGGGGAAGAAGGGGGGAAGAATCGTAATTCCAGCTCGAAAGTAATGGCAAGAAATTTGTCCAAGTGAGATCACTCCTGTTACTCCTGAATTTTCGATTTCACGTATATCGTCTCTGATCAAAGTTGGTAGCGAAAGAAGAAAGGGAGAAGAAAAAGAATATCCTGAAATTCGCGTGTGAGTTCGGAGAAAGGTACTTTCAAAGGCAGTAAGACAAAATATAATATTTTTCATTGTTAAAATCGTCTGAATGAATGAATGAAGACTTCTTCGAATTTTCGATTTCATATATCGTCTCTCATCAAAGTTGGTAGCGAAAGAAGAAAGGGAGAGAAAGGTAAATATCCTGAAATTCGCGTGTGAGTTCGGAGAAAGAAGAAAAGGTATCGTTACTTTCAAAGGCAGTAAGACAAAATATAATATTTTTCATTGTTAAAATCGTCTGAATGAATGAATGAAGACTTCTTCGAATTTTCGATTTCATATATCGTCTCTCATCAAAGTTGGTAGCGAAAGAAGAAAGGGAGAAGAAAAAGAATATCCTGAAATTCGCGTGTGAGTTCGGAGAAAGAAGAAAAGGTATCGT